TGTTGTTTAAGCTGCTGTTAACTTAAGTATAACAATGATAAGGATAACGTTAGACGATTGCGATTTTGTTGGCATTTAAGCTGCAAAACGAGCTCAGCAAACTGCCAACGCGCACACACTCACACACACAAACACACACACATATGAGTGTTTGCACCTTATTTATTTGGCACTTTCATTGCTGGCACACAAACACACTGACACACACTCACACACACGCACACACAGACATAAAGTTGGCCACTTACTCAAACAATTGTGTTAAGTAATTGGAATGGTTGGGATTTGCTGTTTGAACAAAAGTTTCGTGCCGTTGTTGATTTTGTTGCCGGTGTTGCACTTGATATAATGCCACAAGCCGTGTGTGGATTCGCCAGATATAATTGTACACACAAACATACACACACACACACACACACACATACACATACGTATGTATCTGCAGCTATAAGCAGCTATCTTATGAGCCTATCTGAGGCAGATTTAGCCAGCACTCGGTTCATTAGTTTGCCATATGCCCGATGCTCGGTTGTTGTTCTTGTTGTTGTTGTTGCTGTTGTTGTTGTTGTGTCTGTTGCTGTTGCCGCTGGTGCTCAATGAAAAGGCTTAAATGCTCATTTGACGCAATTCATTCGGCTGTATTTACGCACCCACAAACACACACACACACACACACACACAGGGAGACAGACGCGTCGTGGAACTCAATTAATGGCAATAAATGCAAATTACATTTAAATGTGGCGCATAATTTTGCATTTGGCTGCCTTTTCCTGTAGCTGTGCGGTTGGCATTTTAGTTATTTACGAGCCATCACTTCCTAACCAACACCACCCACCCCTCCCTGCCACGCCCCATCCAGGCCTGTTAGTCGGCTAAAATATGCATTTGGCCGGGCTAAATGCTGCATGATTCTAGCTGCAGCTGTTCGTCAATTGGCAAACCGATTTATAACGAAATTAGTTAATATCTGCTTGTGGCTAAGCAGCTCTCATTGTAAATGCAATCATTGTAACTTAAAGTATGAATAATACCTCTGAAATTTCTCCATTTGCCATGACTATAAAAAGTCAAAGTTTGCAAAATAATAATAATAATAATTGCAAAGTAATAATAATAATACTTATGCATTTATGAATAATGACAATAATGATTATATAAAAAAGTGCCAATAAACACATTGAAATATAAATCATAATTAACATATAGAATTTTAAAGTGTAATAAAATATTAAATGTAAATGTAATGTCAATAAAATAATTGTAAGAAGTAAACATAAAAAAATTAAATTAAAAATATTTAATAAAATTTAAAAAAAGAATTAAATAAAAATATAAATATACGTATATATAATTACGAGTATAATAGAATAAAACGAATTGTAATAGCAATGATAATGAACAGCAGAAAATATAATATTAATATACTTAGTAATACAAAAAAAAAAAAAAAAAAAATAAAATAAATAAATAAATAAATAAAAATATATACCTCATTGGTATTTAACGAAGCAATGTAATGCTAATGATAATGAGAGAGGACAATGCAATAAATATCTGGCACAAAAGAAATTATTATTTATTATAAATTAATTGATAATAATAATAATAATAATAATAATAAAAATATTAATAATAATAATAATAATAATAATAATAATAATAATAATAATAATAATAATAATAATAATAATAATAATATTTATTATTAAATTACAATGTAAGAATAAATTATGATGAAATTTTCTGATTAATTACATATAATTAATAATTAATTAAATATACACATCCATTTTATTACCAATAACCCATTATTATGATTACATAATGACAATGAAGGAATGTAATTCATTGCTGCATATGCACATCAGCTCTAATAAGAATTATCATCATCATCCATCATTAAAGTCTCCAACCAACTTGAATTCCTCACGCTGGCTCTCGTCTCCTGCCGTCACATTGTGCGGCTGCAGTGCAACATATACATATATATACATATATAAATGTGTGTGTGTGTGTGTGCAGTTGTAGCTGACATCCCAGTTGGGGCTGTGAACCGGCAATAAAAGTGGCGTGCGCTATTACAATGAAGCCGGCTGCCGTCGCCCAGAGCTTGATTAAGCGCATCGAGCTGCTGCTCAGCTTAAGCCAATCAGCTGGCCAACGAGCTGCTGCCATGTGTTTTGTGTAATTTGAAAACGAAACCTGCAATCGCCATGACCATCGCCATCGTAATCGCAATCACAATCTCATAATGCGCCGTATTCATTCATTGTCATTGTCATCGGCGTTGTCATTGCCGTTTTTCGTTGTCCCAGCTCGCTGGCTGGTCGTTTGCCATTGTCCATCCTCTGTCCGTCCGTCCGCCGTCCGCACACTTGTCATAAATAAGCTGTGCAGCTTGAAGCTCTCTCTTAACTCTCAACTCTCAGCTCGCGGCTCTTTGCTCTTGGCTCTTGGCGCTCAGCTGCCCTCAGCTCAGGGCTCGCATTGAATGACTGAATTCAATTTAACGAGAAATTGCAACAATCAACGCTGCTCAGTGCGTCCAGCGTCCTGTGTGTCCTGTGTGTCCTCCGTGTCCTGTGTGTCCTGCGTTCTGCGTCTAGTGGCACGCTCTTTTCAACGACATGCGCCTCTTCTTTTTTAGCACCGACTGCTGCAATGCCCTTCCCTATGGGCATTTGCATTCGCTCATAGAGCATGGAGCACATTTTTTTGTAATGAAATATTATATATACAATATTAATATAAATATATATTATATACAGTCGAGTACCGATAATTTAAAATGTCAAGGGCATCAGTTTTTGTTGTTGTTAATTTATTTACACAGAAAGTAAAATTATCGATAATTATCGAAAACGAGTTTTGTTTAAGGGAGTAGAATTTTTTTTCTCGATTTATAGCGATTTTTGAGGTAAGTGGCCTATAAATTATCGAGACTCGACTGTTTATAATATAGATAAAATATGTAACCATTATTTTTTAATATACAATAAAGCGAGTGTAGAAAATTTAAAAAATAATTAATAAGCTAAATACATAAATATATATAAAGTAAATATAAGTAAAAAAGTATGCATAGGAAAAAATAAATCTGCCTGAAGGCCTTTGCAGCTCAGGCGTTAAACAAAATTGTTATTTAGAATTAATTCTTTGTAACAATCAAATAAATAAATACATAATAAATATTATACAATTATTTATTTATTTTCTTATTAATGGAACAATTCAGTTTAGCTATCTCAAAACCTAGCTTCAATTTGATTATGATTTTCATATACAGAATTTCAATTTATAGTAAAGGGCATTTGCTCGTCGGCTTACTATTTAAATTTACTCTTATTTTTTTTTCTCTATACTCTTTTTTGTTGTCGTTTTCGTTTTGTGACGCCCACATTTTGCGGACAGCCAAAAAACGAGCAGCCAAAGCAGACCAGACAATGGGCTGATCGGCTTGATGGTCGGATGGCTGGCTGGATGGCTGGCTGGCTGGCTGGCTGGAAAGGATTTCGAGGTGACCAAGAGGCAGCAACAGGAGTCGCAATAACAAGAGCTCCATGCTGTTGCAGCTCCATGCCGCGACAGCGCAGGAAACGCGAGGCATGCCACCAAAGGGCGGCAGCACCGCAAAAGGCACAAAATAAAACGTTGGCCAACGGCAGCGAATGGCGCAAAAAGTTGCACAGCGTATGCCAACAATGTAATTTTGACGCTTGATCTCGGTAAAGCACACACACACACACACACATGCCAAATGGCAGATGGAAAAGGGCGTGGCAAAAAAAAGAGGAAAAGAAACGAAAATAAAAAGAAAAACAAACAAATACCGCTGGATAATGGACACCGATGAATGCAGCACAAAAAATGCCACATATGTGTGGGTGAGTCTATATATACATGTGTGTGCGTGTGTGTGTGTGTGTTTACAGAACAATGGTTGCATTGAGCCGATGCTGTTGTTGTTGTTGTTGCTGTTGCTGCTCGTTTTGAGTGCGTTTTTGCGCGATTTCGGTTCACATGCGTTTTCTTTGCACAGCAGCAGGAGCAGGAGCAGGAGCAGCAACTGCACGCTTCCGCTGCTGCTGCTGCTGCTGCTGCTGGCACTGTCCCCGCGCCATCCCCTGTCGCTCAAACAGAACTTTGTGCTGTGTGTTATTACTGCCAAACCGCAGACGTCGCAGCCAAACGGCCTCATAATATTTCATGGCTGCATGCAGTTTGTTGACATGCCGTTTGCCGCTTCCTTCGGTCCGGGCCACCGTCTTGATTATGCGGCAACAGGACACGTGCAACTTGGCACCTTGTCAAACAGGATGCAGGCAGCAGCAGCAGCAGCAGCAACATCCTCCCAGCTGAACTACAGTTTTCGGTTAGGGCTCAGCCATGCTCACTAACGAGAGTTCTCTAAGGAGTGAAATTGATGTTAATGGTCTAGCCAGGCATTTGGGTCTATATGGCCTATGTGCTATTTATTTAGGATACGGATGGGACAGAGCTAGAATAGTATAGGCATGTTACTCTGCCTACCCTATATCAGGAGAAGCCGCTGCTCTGAGAGGTTATTCCATATAATTAATCTGATTCTTATAATTACTTCAGTTGTACTTTGATTATGTATGTATGTATGTATGTATGTATATACACATATATATATATAGACATATCTCTGTCTGTCTGTGTAGACAATCACAGCCCGAGCTTAATTTGGCCAAGCAAAACGTTCTCATGCCTTTTCTCTCTCTCTCTCTCTTTCTCTGCAATATCCTGCGGCCTTTCAGCTGGCAAATATTATTGTTGATTAAGAAAATTTGCTATTGAAATAAATATTTATTTTTCATTCGGTAATTGTAGTTGATTAATTTCGGACTTTTGACAGAACTGGCCTAGAAGCCAAGGCAGATTTAAATATTTTCAAAACTATAGATATGAAATTGAGCTCGAGAATACAGTGAAGGAAACGTCCTAGCCTACTGTCAATGGGAACGAGTCAATGTAGTCGTCCGCCCAGCTGGCGATCAAACTAGTTCAGCTCTGACAGCTACGGAGTATCGAGAAATCAATATCTTTAGAATCAGGCATTGTCTTCGTTTGCCTCTGTTTGGCGCCGGGACAACCATAAACCAGATCCGTTTGCTCGGACGCTCGAGCTAATCAAATTCACCAAATTTATCAATTTCATCAAATTCTGCAATTTCCGCAAGTACCGCTAATATTCCGTTAATATTTCACCCAAAATTCAAGTCATAATGTATCCAAATGTGAGTGCAACCGTCTGCGTGATGGTGACGGTGCCCACTGCCCAGCAGGAGGCGGCACAGCAGCAGAGCCTGCACAACAAGCACTTCGCCGACAAGTTCAACGACATCGAATGCACCTGTGCCTGCCACAACTGGAGCTCCGTCTACTGCGGCCAGTGCCGCCAGCGGGCGGAGAGGGGCCGATCGCTGGAGCTGCCGGATGTGGACCGGACAGCGCCAATGGAGAAGGTGCTGCGCCAGATTATCTCCCAGCTGCGGCTGGAGCATGTGTTCTGGTCACAGGACCTCAGCGGCGGCCAGCTGCAGGCGCGCTTCGACCTGAAGCAGGACGAGCGCTACGAGCGCCTGCTCTACACACTGCGGGAGTGGGGCATCGGCGAGCGGCCGGGCACCCATGTCACCGCCTTCAACTGTCTGGACACGCGCGTTCCGCTCGGTGCGGCGGCAAAATCTCGCGACTATGGATCAGCAGGAGCCGCAGGAGCAATGGTCGCGAGCGGCACTGGCGATGCCTACGATGACGAGCCGAACGAGAGCCAGCGCATGGGCTGGCAGAGCTTCGTGGACTCGGTGCGCTGTCGACTGAACGTGAACCAGGTGGTGCGCATGGTGCGCCGCGATGCCACCGTCAACTTTGACTTTGTGGTGCTGCTGATGGTCGCCGCACTGCTCTCCTGCGTCGGCCTGGTGGAGAACAGCTTCCTGTATCTATCCAGCAGCATGCTCATCTCGCCGCTGATGGGCCCGATCATAGCGGCGATATTCGGCTCGGTGATCAACGACCGAGGCCTGCGCTGGCTGGGCATCAAGAACGAGCTGATCGGCATTGGCATCTCGGTGGGCACCGGTTTCCTCTTCGGCAGCGCCGTCTGCCTGTGCGGCCTGAGCCGCTTCTTCATGCTCTCCTCCGGCTTCACCGAGGAGATCATCTCGCGCTGCGACACCCACTCGCTGGCCATCGGCCTCTGCACGGCGCTCGTCTCCGGCGCGGCGGCCGCCATCGGCGTGCTGGGCGGCAATACTGGTTCGCTGGTGGGCGTGGCCATATCGGCATCCCTGCTGCCGCCGGCTGTGAACGCCGGCCTGCTGTGGGCAATCGCCCTCTGCACCCGGCTGTTCCACATCGATCCCGATCTGCTGCAGAACCTGTCCAAGCATCGCGACTACTCGGCGCAGCTGCACGTGGAGCTCTTCGTCTGCGCAACGGTGAGCATGGCGCTCACGCTGGTCAACGTGGTGTGCGTGTGGCTGATGGGCGTGGTGGTGCTGCGCATCAAGGAGGTGGCGCCGGCGGTGCAGCGGGATCAGCAGTTCTGGCGGCACGACGTGCGCCTCGCCCGCGAGGTGGCGCTGAACGATCCGGAGCTGCACAGCGCCATCGATCGCCTAGACCTGGACGAGCGGCGACAGGTGAATCTGGATGCCGCCCACTACCAGCACACCTGGTCGCCGGGCACGGTGGTGCGGCCGCGCACCCGCCCGGACACAGCTGGCAGCTGCCAGGGCAAGGAGAACAACCGCAACTATCACACGGTACACGGCTTCCAGAACTTCTGCATGACGCTGCACAAGCGCAGCTCGGAGCAGCCCAGGCGCAGCTCGGAGCAGCCCAGGCGCAGCTCGGAGCAGCCCAGGCGTTCATCCAGCGTGCTGCCCAGCTTCCTGGACGTCTTCAAGCCACTGGAGACGGCCGAGCGCAGCTCAGCACCGATAACCGTTACCGTCCATAAGCCACCGCCACCGCCGCCAGAGTCAGAGACTGAGACCGAGCCAGAGCCGCTGACCATTCCCGTTCCAGCAGCGGGCAGCGGCGCAACGACCAACTATCGCAGCCTGCCCGATCTGCGGGTCAGCTGCCCCGCCAGCGAGGAGCAATGCGCCCAGGAGCTCTCCGATCCGGAGCCGCACACCAAGTCGAAGATCTCGCGCAGCGTACACTGGAACGTGGAGCGCCGTTCGCTGAACGATAGTCCCGACTCCTGCTCGCTGCCCAGCAGCAGCCAGGACTCACAGCGGCGCTACTCCGTCCAGATGCTGGTCCCACCGCCGCCCGACCGTCGACTGCGTCTGCTGGAGCGACGTCAGCCCGAGGACAGCGAGGAGAGCGAATACAAGCACGAGTTCAATGTCTAGTCCAACTGTATCTCTCTGTGTGTTTGTGTGTGCGTGTGCGTGTGCGTGTCTGTGTGTGCCTCACTCACTTTACTTGGCCAATAGAAAAGCCTGCGAACAGCAACGCAAACATTGAGCACCGAACTTCTCTTTCATTTGATGTCGCGCCGCTTTGGCTCCTGTTTTGCTTTGATTACTTCGCGATGTCCTTGTTTGCCCAGCACTTTGCGGCTCCACTTGCCACATTCCCTGGACATCGCCCTGGACCGGCAGCCCTGTGCCAGTCCTCTCGCCTGCCTCTGGCTGCGGCATGACAAACATTTTGTTGGCTTTCAATTTGCCGGCTCTGCCCTCCCCTCCCCCTTGCCGACAGACTGGCTCAGTGGATCAATAAGTCACATCGTGAGCTCCTGTTTGAGCTAACATTGACTTGCTTTGTTCCTCAAAGGCTTACTCCTTTGTCGGTCTCTGCACAAGCTAAGCTCCCTCTCTCTCTCTCTCTCTCTCTCTCTCTCTCTCTCTATCATTCGCTCTCGCTCTCCCCCAATATACATATAGATGAGCAGCTGACAGCTAACCAATTGCTCTTAGCTTACGTATTGTTTCTTCCATATCGCATAAAGTGTACAATGCTGGCAGCTTGTAGCCTATTTCTTAATCCAGCCGCTCTAATACTCGCTCACGCACTGCAGAGAGCATATTGGTTCTTGTGTCAGATCTGTTTATAGGCTGAACTCTCTACGTCTATTTTCGAGTTGACTTTCGCTAGCTCTGCATTTGGGAAGCATCGTTGATCTGCTGAGCGAGTATTGTGCAGTCGATCAGCACATGCATATATACACTGAACTAGGTGTACTTCCATCAGACAGTGTTGTAAAGTGATCTATCACATCACATCAACTACTCGTAGCTTTGCTTTGCTCTGATCAGGAACTTTGCTGATCCACGTTGATCTGCTGAGCGAGTATTAGGCAGTCGATCATGACATATGTGTATAGAGAGTGAGCTAGATTTAATTCGACTATACTATAGCCCTCTTCTGTTCTCGAGCTCACTTAAGCCAGCTCTGAACTGATTAGCTTGCTGAGCGAGTATTGGGCAGTCGGTCAGGCTATATATAGAGTGAGCTGGATTTGCTTTTATTATTTTATTAGACAGTGTTCTATCAATTCTGATTCTGTTATATTATAGTGCATTCGATTACATAATATCAACTAGCTCTGTAATAGGCGAGCTTCGTTGCTCTGCTGAGCGAGTATTGAGCAGTCGATCAGAGTGTCGATCACTTCTATTATACTAAAAAGTGTTCTATCATATCACATCAGCTGCTCCTCCTTAATCTACCGAGCGAGTATTACGCAGTCGGATACAATGAGAGGTAACTATACTTCTATTATTATAGAGTCTATTATATTAGAATTATAGAGTATTTTTCCTATTTAAACTCACTTTACAATATGTTAACCTGCTGAGCGAGTATTACGCAGTCGATCGGAACATATATGAAATGAAGTAATTATACTGCTTTCTTATAGAGTTCTATTATCATTAAGTCATATAATTTATTATTATAGATTCTATTGCAGGTATTATAGAGTGTTTTTCAATTTCCAAGCTCGAGCTGAGCTGACGAACGAGTATTGGGCAGTCGATCAGGACATGCCCAGAGCTAAGTTGTTATACTTCTATTAGACATATTATACGTTTGTTTTGCTACTATTATTATAGAGTCTATTGTAGCGTGTTAATTCCGTTAGCCTGCTGAGCGAGCATTACGCAGTCGTTCTCAACCCATGCATGTCCTGTGGAAAGCCGTCTTCGCTTATGCACAAACACTTTTCATTTGCTGCTCTCGACTTTTCTGTGCAATTTTCGTTCGCTGATTGCTTTCAGATGTTTCGTATTTTTTTTTTCTTTTTTTTTTGTTTTTTTTTTTTGATATCCTTTTCGACTAGCTCGGTCTCGGCTCTAATAGACAAGAACAATTACGTGTTGCGTGTTGTATTGTGGCCATGGCTGTGCCTGTTGTCCTGGTCATTGGGCCCAATTGGCCAACAGGCATTGTTAGCCAGCCTGGAGTTCAGTGTGAAAAAAGGTCCTGCGGCCCAGTGGGTGATCCTTTGATGTGATGGGCTGCTGTTGTTGCTCTAGCTGTTGTTGCTTAACAGTAATGTTTATTTGCCATTTGGCACTGTCGCTGTCCTTGCCACGTGCACCGCATCCCATTTGCTGTTTGCTGTCGGCTGTTGGCTGTTTGCGTCCTGCAGGTGCGACATTTGTCAGGTAGCCGCAATTAGCGCCATTCGCACAGCGCTGAGCCCACGCAGCACGCACCCTCGCACCCTCGCACCTCGTCCCTCAGCAGCGTCCGATTAACTCGTTTCCGCCCGCCTGCCCGCTAACGACCACTTCAGGGCGCATTCTCCGTCCGCTTGCGGATTCCTCAAGTGCCCGGGCCTCATATAATTTTATGATGCATGCGCGAGAATTTGTGAGTCCATGAGGGAAGTGCCAAAGGTGGCCGAGGTGGCCAGGCAGACTGAGGCCCGACCAGCGCTTGCATCTCACACCCCGGCCCAAAAACAAAACCCATTTTAATGGCCATTCTCATAGAGGTGCTAACATGTTTATGTGCCAGCTTTTAGAGCCTCGTTAATGAGGTGAGCGGCCTGAGCAGCACAGTTGCCTTTCCTCCTGCGCCGCTCGTCTTGATTATTGCCATTAGCTGAAGATTACGCTTATTCGCTACACGGGATGGGTTTGAAAAGTTGCAGACGAGCTGGCAGAAAAACTGTCAGCAAAAGAGATAGCACTCTGTCTCTCTCTCTCTCTCTCTCTAATTCTCTCTGCTGTGACTAATGATCAAATGAAGTATACAAAACTGCCTGTAATCCAACAATCAGCAATTTATCTGCACAATATTTATTTGATATGCAACAAGGCGAGGGCAGAATGATATAATATTGTTTCTTTTTTTTTCTGCACTTTTAGTGCGATTCCTTCGCAGGTGTATACAGGTACTGCAATATTCAGGTGTTCATTCTTAACAACTGAAATGAGATCGAATGAAATATACTATAGTCAAAAGCAGCTGCTCTGCTATTCTCGGGATCCCCACGTAAACTCTGAGGACTCTCATTCATAAGGAGAACGTATTTATCTATCGGATTATACGTATTAGTTGTTGCAAAATAAAGAATTTAATAAACAACTTAATGCAATTCATTGCACGCTATTTGGAAGAGCTTCAGCTTAACCCGGACACTGTTGTCTGCCCTCCGCCTCGTCCTCCTCCTGCTTGTGCTCCTGCTACTGCTCCTGCCTCACCCGCTTGGCTGTTCCTGTCTCTGCTTTATGCTGCTCCAAAGCAATTTTTTGTGCTGCCAACTTCAGCTGAACTTCTTTTGCAACAAATTGTGTTGGCTTTGTTATTGTTGGCTGCTGCATTCCGTTTTAATCTTGCCGCAGCACATCGCAGCGCTGCCTGCAACTCGAGCTGGGCCGGCCCAGCGGCAAGTGGACTCCGGACTCCTGGCACTGTCAGCATTGTCCTTTGAAGCGTTCTCTGCTTCTGGTCTTACTTGTAAATTATGTGTTTTAATAATTTACAAAGACTCAAAAACTGAAGCACTTTGCTTATAATCTTTTTGCCGTCTCGCTCACTTTTGATAGCCCTAATGACCAACAGCAACAGCAGCAGCAGCAGCAGCAGGAGTCGGAGGAGCCGGAGGAGCATCTGCAGCAGCTGTAGTTAAATGCAAGCCTGTAAATAACTACAAAAGACACAGATCCGGCTGAAATGGCATATAACGAGCAAAGTCATACAAAAATGCTTGCAAGTACTAACTTTTAATTTCAAAAGGAGCCCAGACCAGATCGCGCTGGCATTTCACTAAGTTTTCGCTTTGGGCGAGGAAGCCTTTGTGCTCGGCCTCGGCTCGGCCGACCCCTTCAATTTGTGTACAACAGCTGCAGCTAAGCCACTTTGAAACGACTTTTGTCATACGATTATTAAAGGTGAAACTTAAATTGCGCCAAAAAGCTGCGAGTTGCCATCAAAGTGGCAAAGTTATCAACTTTGGGATTTCTATTAGGCATGAAGAGAGCTGTGAAGCACTCGAATCGCTGGGAATATTCAAAATATGCAATAGAAAGCAGATAAAGAATACACAATATTTTCATTAATATATAAACAAGACTGCTCCAGTCGGGCATGCCCTAGATGCCCTGCAGAGCTTATATAACAGCTTAACTTGCTTCATTCCTAACGTATCATACTCACTCGATCTCGCTCTGCTCTGGACTTCGGCTCTTTTCGTTTTTGTTTGCTGTTGAGCGCCTTGAGTGAAACTGTTCGTGTGACGCTCTCTGAACGAACATCGTTTAGAGAGAGACACGATTGACGCTCGCTGAACGAATCACTCAAAAAGTCAAGGCAAACGGTCTGCACATTCCCATACATATGCGCACACACCAATACATACACAACAGACATTTACTTTGACGAAAGAAAAGAAAGCAACAACAACGTTTGCCAGCCGATCGCGAACGAGCTCGTTAAAGAGCCGATGCAATCGGTTGCTCTCAGAGCTTTTTCTCATCGTATGGGCAAAAGAGACTTATGTACATATTTATATACTTGCTGCCATCGATAAGTAGGCAACAGCTAGCTGCAAGCTACATACATGCATGCATGTACATATGCATGTATGCCAGTCAGTCGACGCTTTTTCATGCATGCACGCATGCATAGCAAACCTATATATGTATGTGTGTGCCCTTAAGCTCGTGCTCTACTCACTGCATAGTTAAAGCACTGTGGGAGCTTTACTATGAGAGCTTAATTAATCCAACATTATTCGCATTTACAATGCACATACATACATGCATATTTATATATAAATAAATTAACATAATTTAACAACTTTAAATATTGTTTGCTTTTACGAATTACATTCGTGTACTTTAGGCCTTCGTATGTATTTCCTTGCATCTAGTATAACGATCAAACCTGTGTTGAGATAATCAACGTCTGCTTTCATATTTCATTCCCATTCCCATACGCCATTCATAAAGATAAACAGACTATATTAGCTTAACATATTGTCCATCTCTCCCTGAGTCTCTCTCTCGCAT